TTTAAACAGATTCAAAATCTTTGTCTGCAAGATTATCAAAGATTACGATTTGGAACTAATATTTTATCCAAAGAATATTCATGTTTTGGAACTAATCTTATTCAAGAGATACGATTAATTTTTTATTTCGCATATGATAAATCGGCATATTAATAACAGAAAAATTCTTAATTTCACAACTACCATAATCTCCTAATTAAAAAATGTATTTTATTTGTTAAGATTTTCACCGCCGAATCCTAATTTTGCTAACTAATATATGTCTCTCTATAAATACAAACAATAAATCCAAGAAACAATGTAGACGATTTTGTATGTTCTGTTTTTTTTGTCACGACGATTTTGTATAGTTTATCTTTCTTTTCGCATGATGTGTTTACTCTGGCTTTAACAATTCTAATATTATTCATTGAATTTTTTCATTGTTAGGAGCTCGATCTTCATGACAGCTATTACTTCCTATAATCGAGAATTATTAGAGGAAGTCTAATCAAATTCAACTACATTCCCCCATTATTCAAGTAAGGACCAACACTCTGATATTTTCAATTTACTACTCTAAATTGAGTTGAAGTTTATGTTATCGTTTTGGTTTATATTCGTTCTTGATCGGACCATACTTAACCCTAACGATTTTTTTGTCTAACATGTACCTTTTTAATTTTCAGAATGAATCACGTGCAGCCTCCACTTATTGATTGAAGATTTGTAGAGGTTACATCGTCACAAACTGTCATATTCGTTCTTGATCAAAACATTATTCTACTTTATGAATTCATGACATTTTGTTATTCAGTAGTTTTTTTACCGTGTAAGATGTGACTTTATGATATTATATCAGATTGCAGTTAAAGAATACATCATTTTGTAAAACTGTAAATGTCATCAAACTAACCAGGTCTTCGATTTCTTTTAAATTAATCTTGCAACGTTTGTATATGCTCAACTTTGATTACAAAGAATGCCTTGGAATATCGTTTGTGTTATATTCAATACTAATTGTTTATTTGTATGTTTCAATTGCTGATATAAATTTGCCAACAAGATCATTCAAATCAAGGATTTATATGTAAGTAAAAAATTTGTATCTTTGGTATATATATTTTCTAAAAGTTTGCTAATTGTTATTTTTTTTTGAAATGGTATATGATGTCTCAATAATAAGTCAATATGTACAAATTATAAAAAAGGTTAGCTTCTAATATTTTGCTCACAAAACCCATTACTATTAATTTATTATTATAGTGAATACAATATGAGAAGCATATATACTAGTTTCTATATTATACATGCTTCAATGGTATCTAATATGTTTTTTTTTTGTGATTCGTGATCAGGAAATACTTGATTTTGCCAAAGACATCATGAAGCAAAACTTAGTGAGCACTTGACACGCATTCGTAATAGCCACAAAGATCTAAATTACAAATTTAAAATACTTTTTATAACAATGACTCTTGATATTCGACCATGACATGTATTTTTCATAATGATTGTTGTTGTTGATATACTCATGTAGAAAATTTTCTGTGTGTAAACTATATACTATATATGGATTTTTGACTTCATATCATTTTCTTTGTCATCGAGGTTTTAAAGTTATGTCCACTTTGAAAATTCAAAATAGGATACGTAAAGCTACTTTGTTAAGAAATTTTATATAAAATGGCAAATAGACGATATAAAAATCGGAGAAGTCTTAGACGGTGAATATGAATAAGGAAAATAAGATGAAGAATCAAAGTTAGAAAAAGGAGGAGAAATGAAGACAACACCGAAATTTTGTTTTTAAAAAAAAAACCATAAGAAGTAGAAAAAAAACAGAAATTAATGATTGAGATAAATTAAATGACAAAAATCGTGTTATTAAATATTAAGATTACCATTTTCTAATTACACTGTCATCAAGTTAACACAACAATGATTACATTGTGTTGAATCACAATAAAAATTTATAAATTATATAAATAATTTGACATGAGATACACTAACACAATATATAACTAAGTGTCAACATAAATTCGTATACGTCAAGCGAGCAATCATAAAATAACACATACCATAACATCGATCACTTTACAAATTTAGAATAGTAAATTTTAATTTTCATTGTTACAAAATACATTCCAGTCTGCACCCAACAATTATAATATGACAGATACCTAATCATCAATACTACAAATTTACAATAGTAAATTATGATTTTCAATCTTACAAAATACATTTAAACCCGCACACAGTGCGAAAAATCTAGTTGACTCTTATTTCTACATATATTACTAGATTAGCACCTA